AGAAGATATACATTTTTATTAATGCAATTTAAGAAACACTATATGGAGAAAGAGGCAGGGTGGAAGAGGTAGGAAGCTGAAGAGAAATAGGTAAAAATTAGGATGAAGCTGAAAAAAGCTGCAATTCAATTCAAACTGATTCTTCTTCTATGCATATTAAGCTTTTATTCCAATTTGCTGATCCACAATTTAAGCCATAAGCAGCAGGCACATAATTTGATATTAAAGCATTACTCATCATTACTTGCTGCTTCTTTCAGCTTTTGAACTGTTTTGAATTGGTGTGCTGTCTTAAAATCCTCGTTTTTTTTTTTTAACTTGCATATGAAAAAATAGATTTATAATTTTGTAATCCAAACATGTTTATGGATGAGAAAGAAATAAATGTGCTTAGTAGGAGTGTCAAAGGAAAAAAAAAAAAAAAAGCCTTTACTACCCAGAATATTTCTTCCCTAATGAATGACATATTCAAACAAGCACCTTTTAACTTTTTCCTCATAATTCCTCATGCTTGGGAAAATCTCAACAGAAATCTCAGCAAAAGTCTCTTCTTGACAAAGGCTAGACAGCAGCATGCAGAGTTCTACTTCTTACTATGTTAAACAACGTGACCTCCTTAGGTTCTTGTACCCCCTCCTCAAACCTGTCAGGCTCTTGCCTCTGCCCCTATAAACTCTTCCATAAAGGACACAATTCTAGGGTTTGTTTGTGTGCCACCTACCCTCACAGGGTCTGCCTCCAAACGATAACAATAAAATAAACTTCAGAAATATGAGTTTTAAAACACAGAAAATCAGATTACCAAAGGATGGAAATATAACATATCCTTACCTATGCAGCTGTAAATACTCTCTAGGTCTGTTTAAGAGGTGAAGGAATCTGTCAACAATCTTGTTTTTCCCAACACCCTGCAATAAATATATACATATAAATGTATAATGCATAAATTTAAGTCGTAAACAAAGAAAAGATAACTTTTCAAAATTGTCTAAACACCTCCGTACTCTTTTATAGGTAAATATGACTTCAATCCACATCAAAGAATTCTGAACGCAATTTGATTATTTTTATATATCTATATCTATATAGATATAGATAGATATAGATGTTACATACGTATATAGTTGCAAAACACTTCTTTGTCTTACTAGGAATAAACAGAAATAGGATCATGTCTCTAGAGTTACATCACTCATGCCTATGCATCCTTTTAACTAAACGCAGTTTTTCCAGCCCTTCCATTTCACAAAGCTATTGTGAGGCCACGAACACCAGGAAGCTGGCTTAAAGTAAACATAAAGAAGGTAAATCTTGGTAGCCATAGGTAACATTTAGTAGCGATCACATAGAATTAGAGCATTACTCTGGTCATATTTGCTAATCTCATTTAACTTAACTTAAGGGGGAAGAAAAAAGGCACAGGTGGAACCAGAATTGGGTTGGGAATTGCAGTGATTTATTACTCCTCTTGTAGACATATATTAGAAGTGCAGAACAATGACAGTGGGTTTATAGAGTGAATCACTTGTTGCTAACACCCTAGCGTCTCCTGCATAAGCACTTCAGCTCAGGCCCAGTTTGGTCACTTGCAATGAATTAGCAGCTAGAAGGCATCAGAAGTGCTGCTGGACATGTCTTCCACTTTAGTCTCACCCTGAAGGATCCAGGTCATACATCCCTTCACTACTGCATGACACGTACCAGCTGCAGTAAGGAGACGCGTTTAAAAGCGCAATCCTGATCAGGACTGAAACTGTAATGTAGATGCGCACCCAGATGACAGTTCAGATGCAGAAAATTCTTATTCTTCCTACAAAGGAGTGGCTGCAGGTTTGGGAAATGAGAACAAAAGTGAGACTATCAAGGTTTGGGGGTAGAGGGTGAAAGAGCAGGCACAGCTGGAAGCAGTTTGACAAGATACCATCACTCCACTGAGATTCAGATTCTGACTGCATGAATCCATCTAGTCCACACTAGTGTAAAATAAAGCAGATAAATATAAACCACAGACAGATTAAGAGATTAGCAGGTCTCAAATTGGTTTAATCTAATCTGTTTCACTTGGCATTAAAACAGAATAGGAGCATTCAGACTGCAAGTTGTGACTTTCATGACTGTAAGTTCTAGTGGAAAGATAGTAACTGACAGCTGCAGAACTGCAAACTGTTTAAACTTCTCAAAACGGGACCACAATCTCTCATCTGACTACATTTATGAGACTGGAGAATCAAACACATATGTGTAGTATTTGAAATCCTGGAATGAAAGATCTCACCAGGAGAGTAGAGAAAAAAAGATATAGCAGAGATGACAAAAATAGAACCACACAGATCCTACTGTGGACTCAATCTGAACTCAGAATCTGAGCATCATCTGAAGGATGATGTTTGGATAACAAACTCTTCTAGAAAAAGTCAAAAACACACCCGTTTGAGGAGAAACATTCAACTTCAGGAACTGCATCAGAAGCATCAAAAGTAATCAGAAACAGGGTAGCAATCCTCTTATAGTGCACATGGGCAGTTTTATTCCCATGTGTTTGTCACTGCTTGCCGTAAGATACTTAAAACTATAAATGGGTCAATAAACTGGGATACTCCTTCTAATGTCAAGCACAAATACCAATGCTAAAAGCAGCCTCCTTCACATTTTCTAAGAGATCTTCAGAGGATTGGGCAGATGTCTGCCAGCAGTATTTTGTACAGTCCCCAGTGGACTGCATATCCTTTTCTCCACAGAGTGGGACTCTCGCCAGCTGTGGCAAGAACAAAGCTGAAGAAATAGATCAACATATTGAATCAATGTAAAACATACTTAATATCAAGCAAAACGGTTACTGTAATTAGAAAAAAAAGGACTTTGGCTTTCATGTGCATTAACAGAAAGAGCATGCGGTTTGTCTGTATGTTTATAATACCGTCCTAAAATTATGCATGAAAAGACTACTTCCCAACTACAAAATAACATAGCTAGACTTTTTTTTTTCTCCCTCTCCCTTTCCAACAGAAAGACAACCACGTAGCTAGTTTTGCTCATTTTTACCAATGCTGTTATCACCAAGGATACTAAGAGGAATACACCTCGCTTCTGAAAGAGCACTCAGAGGACACACAAGCGCAACGCAGGGCCACTGTGGAGGAATGGAGTGAGCACTGTTACCAAAGTAACACACAGAAGTCAATGGGAGTTGTGCCACGATTGTCTCTCACCCTTTTCTAGTTTGTATTTGCACATCGCAGCAGTATCCCTGCGTACCTACTTTTATTTTATTTTAAGCATACCTTGATTTCAGAATGTGATGCATTTTTAAAAGGTGCATGCAGTATTCAAGAGCTGCAAGGCACTGCCACCAGGTTTAACCATTAGAAACATGTTCATGTTGCCCAACTCCTAGACTGAACTCCTTCAGAGCATACGTTATGTGCCTTCATAGAGGTTGTGGTGTACCACAGAAAATCCTTCGTTGGCCACAGCAGCTGGAGCAAAGTTCGAGTCAAAGCTCTTTGATCCTATTCCTTCACATTCTTACTTCATGACAAGTTACCACTTCTCTTTGTCTCAGTTACTCCAGCAGGAAGAGGCACAATATAATTATATTAGAAAGTAAGGAAAAAACTGCAAAAAAGAGCTCAGATGAGTTCCTTCAGTGCTACTCACTGACATGAGACCAAGAAAACTAGGTTTATTCCAAATTCACCTGACCCCTGTGGGATAAACAATGTGTCTGGTAATCTTCAGATAAACAAGAACTGTGGAAAACGCTAACCCATTTTAGAAAACTCTGAAATAGGCCAGTGCCATCCCAGAAATAAGAAATGACAAAGATGGCAAAAAAAATCACCCTTTTTCTTTAATCTATATCCATCTTGTAGCTGGTAGGCAACTATTTACACAGAAAGAATCAAAACTACACAATTCATGTGAACTCACTAAAATACTGAATTGAACTTGGATTGGATTCAGAATGTAATCTCATGTAATTTGCATTAATGGTAGTCTAAGGTAACATTCAGAGGACAAACCAGTTTGCCATGAACACTGTGTTATTTATATATGTAATATTGCAGTTACTTGATTTTACAGAAATATAAGCATATGGAAATTAGAGGGAAAATAACATCTGTGTTGGCATTTCAGCTAAAAGGAACAGAAATATTTCTGAAAGCAAGTATTAGACAATTTTTATTCCTCAGACCTACAGGACAACTGAAGCAGAAAAACAGGAAGTAAAAAACTGCAGTAATAACTAACAAAAATAAAATCATGCAATTAGAAGGCAAAACAATTCCTTATTTAAAAATTCTCCTGACATTGTAAACACTTGTTACCAAGGATAAAATGACTTCATCTTCTAGCAGTAACAATAACTGCAGCTTCAAATATAAAACAAGGTTCTCACAGGTCCCAGGAGGCATTTTGCAATTCAGGATGCAGCTATTACAGTAGTGGGACAAATCTGTCCCCTGCACAATTCAACTGAAATCAATAAAGTTATACAGGAAACGAACTGGACCCAAGCTTTGAAATTAACAGTTTGCTTCTTAGAAAGAGAACTATCAGAAAAAAAAAAAAAAAAAGAGAAATCCTATCTCATTTTTATTTTCTTTTAAATGATTTGCAGGTCACACTGAAGTGGTTAAAGAGGTGACTGCATTGTTCTGTTCACTACTATCGTTCAGCCAAGACACTGCAACCACGCCTCTTCCATTTCAGTACACAGTCATCCTGTGTAGCTTAAATCACCTTCAACAGGGCAGGTTTCATTAGAAATTAATGAAATCCAGGTTTTGCAATGGGTGAAAAAGACAATTTTTCACTTTTTCACTTGGGTTTTATTCTACAACTAATTTTGAAATATTATGCATTTGTTTTGGGATATAGTTCTGACTAAAAAAAAAAAGTTGATCGCTTCCTGCTTAGAACAAATGTGAATAATGCAGTGTAATAACCACAGAAGATATGTCAACAGGAGACCCTAGACATTGCTACCAGAGGACCACCTCAATAAACCTCACCGTTGCTTTGACGTTAGTAACAAAGGAAAATAGTTGCTAAAAAATAGTAGCGATCTAAGACTTGCCCCAACTGTAATTTATATATTGGTCACAAACGTGCTGCACAAGAGTGTTCTGTGATTTAGGATCTAATTATTTTATTACGAATTTATCATCTGGAGCATGCAAAAACTATGGTAACACTAAAAGAAAAAAAAAAATCCACCACAAGAGAGCCCATAAACTCATTTCCCTGATAGAAGTCATGAATTGAATGGCTTGGATAAATCAGGTTTAGACAGACTTGTAGATTACCTGCCTTCTTCTGAATTTAAACTATCACGTTCAACCCAGAACCCTATTATGCAACATACAATCTTCACATTTACATACATAAGACAATTGGAGCCTTACAGAGAGAAAGATATGAAAAATTTACAATAGAAACAATCCGCGGGAAGAAACTTCCCAAAGAAAGTAACTCATTAATTCTTTTGTGTTCCGTTTCTTTAGTATAACTTGCAAAGGCAGAAAGCAATAATGTAAGCACAGATACATTTAAAGATGATTCATATTTGCATATGGGCAACTACAGTTATGACTGTAGTAAGCAGAAGACAAATATTTTCTGAGATTTCCATAATATACATACAGAATCTCTTAGGCAAAAAATATCTTAACAACCAGCCCTATTTACTTCATTTAGAGCTCAACTTCTTCATGTTCGTAAGAAAAAGACCATCAAAAATATTGACTTCGGAGAGTACATCACTGCCTTATAGAAGAAGCTGTCTATTTTCACACAAGCTGAAGTCAAAAAACCCAGGTCCTTTACTTCTAGAAAAGTTAGAATGTTAAGCATTTGCTATTTCCAGTTTTGCCGGTGACTGATACTACTGCACTCTCAGTTTCTC